GTAGAGTAGGAATGTCCTTATCAGAGGGAGAAACAACTGCATTGATTTCATTAGGATGTTTATCACACAATGTATTTCAGCAGACATTCCTGGTTGCCCTCTGTTGAACAGTTAAAGCTTTTAAGATAAAATAGCATGCAAGCAGGATGGCATGCTTTATCCCAACATTTCTATAATGTAGCTTGATAATGATCTTTCATTCTAGCTGATGAGAGGTAGCAGTTAAGGAAAATAAAAATAGAGATAAATTTGCTGGCTAAAGTCCTGTAGGTGTACTTGAATGAGAGAGATCAAGCAATAGGGAGCAAGGGCTCCTTTCTTAATTTCCAGGTATTTGAAAAGAGTTTTAAAACCCTTGCCAGCCCAACTTCTGCTGAGCCAGGTGCTAAGAAGGCAGGAGCCCTCTCAAAAGCACCTCAAACCCTCCCTTTTTCCTGGGAGAGGAAAGCCAGTGGAGGCTGATGCCATTCAGAGCAGAGATGAATGATAGAATAACTCATGCTGGAAAGGACTTCTAGGATCACTGAGTCCAACCATTGACTTGCCACTGCCAGGCCCACCACTAAACCATGTCCTTCTGTGCCAATCCCCACAGCTGGCCCTCCTGGCACTTGGTCACTGACTACAGTCCCACTTTCTCTCTAACTTAATGTGATCTTGGATAAAGAAAATAGCCCAGCAGGTGGTGAGGCCCTGCCGAGGCCTGGTACTGCAGTGACCACACAGAACCCCCGCGTGGGAGCTGGGCCTACAACAGCTGCACTGAAAATATTAAGGAAATGAAAAAAAAGGGCACCAGGTAATTTTAGCAGTGAGGAGTATTTCTAGTGTCCCTCTGGGCTGCATGCTGAGAGGATCTGTGCCTACTACTATTATCACTAGAAAAAGATGTTTAGCTCAGTAGGAGCAGCTAGTTTCCTTTAACCTGAGAGGGCCTCAGCTCTGGAGAAAGACAAACTTCCCATGCCACTTACATATCTTCTTAGGAAATTAAGGTGTCTAAGCATCCTTCACAGACAAATTTCCAGCCTGAAACATGGTAGGGGTTCCTTCTGTACCCATCTATTCACAATTAGTGTATCTTACTGCTGAACAAACAAGGAGATTGGATTTTCAGCCACAAGCAAGGTCAGGTCTGCATAGACACAGGTGGCAAATTCCACCATGCTGAGGGAAAAGGAAGGTGAAGCTGTTCATGCCTGTCATCTTAGCTCTCGTTCTCCTCCCTTCCAGAGTCTAAATATATCAAATGGCTTTGGGGCAACTAGAAAAAGAGAAGGGAGAACACAAAAAACAATTTAATAATGTCCATTGAAGCAAAGAATTTTGCTTGCCCCCTGTTTTAGATGAAATATCACATGCCCCAGTAGGTGATCTATATTTCATTGCATCTTTAAAGATGCTCAGATCTGGAGACAATTACATGCTATCAGAACCTGGAAGAACAGACACTGTTAAGATTTCATCAGACATTTTAAAAAAATTAGAAAATAAGAGAGAAAGACACATAAACACAGCCTGGGAACCTGAAACAAGATTCCAACCATGCAAGTGACCTTGCTAAAGTCAATTAGCATCTTCTGCTGTATATCCTCTGGAGATGCATGGGTACAAAATCATGAGCAACCAATAACTATTATTATTACTGATGTTTGGGGTTTTTTTTTTCTGTATATAGTATCAGAGAGTGGCAGCAGATGTGGGGAAAAAGTGTAAGGGATCTGTAGCCTGAAACATCAAACTATGTTATGAAATTTAAAATAGCAGCATGTAGGCACATATCAGGAAGGACACACTAATTATCAACAGAAAGCACCTTTTTTCATTAAGAACTATGTTCTCTGCATTATTCAAAAGCTGCCTGGCTCTTCAGGCATTGCTTATACAAGTCATTGTGGCCTCATTTTGTTTCCCAGACCTTGGATTTAGTTCAGGAGTTTAGCTCTTCATGCCTTGTTCTTTCACTGAGTTGGTCCTGGAGAACAGCAGAGAACTTGGGGCAGTGAATAACTCCCCTGAAGCTCCCCTGAGAATAGGTGGGTCCCTGTCTTGGACTCTGGGAGGTGCTGAAAGTCATGCTGGCAGCACTGCCTCTCCATTTTCCTACCCATCAGTTGTCACCCATAAAATGGGATGAACTAAATACTGTTTTCCCCCATATTTCTTCTGTTTTCCTCACTAAGATTGCAACCACTGCAGAGAAGCTGTGGCTGCCCCAACCCTGGGTATGTTCAAGGCCATGGTCTGTATCAATCTGGACTAGTGGAAGGAGCTTGGAATGAGATCATCTTTCAGGCCCCTTCCAATCCAAGCTGTTCTGTGATTCTATTATTCTCCAAGAGTTGTATCAGAGAAAAGCCCCATTTTCCCAAGTGCTGTGGTGCCACGTTCATGTCTGTACACCATAACTGCAGCAAAGGCAAAAGCCTTGCTTAGACAGGGAACAGTTTGCCTCCTGAAAGAAGGGAACAGACAAAATATCCTCACAGCAATCCGGCACCTGTGATTTCCTCGATTCCATCTGAAAGCTTACTCTCTATTTTGCTGACATATGAGCTGGGTGCCCTATTGTACATCAGTGTAAAAAATAGCTGTTATCTGCTGTTTCATGGGAGATATGGCAGAACATGATTTATTTGTGCCTGCTCTGCTGCCTCCTTTGAAATGTTGCCGTCGCTCACTGCACTCTTTGCTGGGGAAGGCAGATGGTCATCACAAAGTTTCCCATAACCTTGCCGTGCCTGCTGCATAGTGAATCAATGAAACCTGAATTACAGAGCTCTGCCTGGGCTGGGAGCTGTGCTGCTACAGAATCCTGCAGTGCCTGCAAGCCTCTGAATGACAGCACTGCCCAGACACTGAGGAAATGTGAAAATTCTCTCCAGAATTTCAAAGCTGTGCCAAGTGGGGATTTTTAGCTGCAAAGTTGCATTCAGTGTGAGCCAGGACTGCGTTGCTCAAGCTTTAATTACCAGCTTGGAAATGCACTTTTTGTGAGTGTTTGAATGTTAGGTGTGACCTCTCCTTAGAAAGAGTAGAAATTAAAAATCCAAACAGACTTTGAATATGAAATCTGGGGACAAGGATTTTTTGGAGCCTGAACAGCAGCATCTGCCCCTCTGTGATAGCTGTCTCTGCTTATGTGACATTTGCAATGAGGCTCCAGGTGATTTGAAAAGTTGGCTCTAGACTGCAGTTCACCTTTTGTGTCAGCTCGTGCCAGGATACCCTTGCCAAAAGGCACTACTTTGGGGGAAATAACAACTGGGAATAGGGGAAAAAATTAAAAAAAACAACAAAAAACCTTCTGAAAAGCACTTTGTCACGTTCCCTGGGCTGTGGCAGGCAAATGCTGGGAACAGTGTGAGCTCCTGCCATGAATGTAGGCATAGGCAGAAATCTCTCAGTGTGATGATTACGTCCTTTACATACCTGATTGAAGGCAAGGTGAGTACATAAAACATTTTCAACACTGTCTCCCAATTTCTGATATTTATTTGCTCTATGAGCCAACATGCTGGAAGACATCTGTTTTATAAAGCCTCATTTCACTGATTTTTCCTTAGGATGGGAATCATTGCTCTGAGCAGGTCTGGCAATTTCAGATAATGACCTGCATGCAGCACAGGTGCTTCTAGAAATGGGTAATGCTGGATGCAATACATGTTAATGTGTCTCCCCCAAATGGTTTTGGCCTTTTGCAGATGACTGCTTCCATGTGTGTGTATGGAGGGCAGAGCCTCTCCCAAATTCAAGCTGTCAGCTCATTCCAGTAGTGTGCCTAGGCAAAGAATGTTCTCTCATATGAACCCACTGCTGCAAGGCAGTGTAGACATCAACTGCCTTGATAATTTTGTTTTTATTAAATACAATAGGAATAAATCTGAAAACTTATAATCTAATTTATGTTGGGGAGAAAGCAAAATATTATTTGGTGTACAAAAGACAATCCCTGGATTTAGATTTTTTTGATCAAAGAGATTACTTGTGCTGGAACAACTTTATCACTGCGTCTTATTCCTCAGTTTGCAACTGGATTTGATCTAAACTCACACAGGCTTCCCCTGTCTTGGAAGGGGCACAATTATCCTACAACCAGTGACTAAGGAGTGAGGACCTTTCTTATAAAATCCTTCTAACAATAAAAAAACAAACAAACAAAATAAAAAAACCCCACAAAAACCAAAACCACAAAAACCCCCAAATATTTAAATGAGGCCAGATTACTTTACAGAAAAAAAAGGCCTGGTCTTGTTTACAGACAGAGGCTGAGTGGACTTGATGTTTCCTTTACTGATTGTCATGGAGTTTAATATATCATAGCACTTACCAAAATAAGTGAGACCAGAGTAAGGTTTATACTCTTGAAAAGTATGAATGAACAAATCCTGGTTAAATTTAGGTGTAAGGTAGATTCTTTTCTCTGTGCCACTGATACAAATCCATGAAATCTCAAATTAACAATTCAAAAAGTCTGATTTTAATTATATTTTCTGAAGACAGAGTAGGTATCAAACTTTGTGGATCTGTCTGTATCCTGAATTTCTGTATATTTCCAACTTCTAAAAATAATTTCCAATGTGTCAAGTAATCACAAATCCTCCAGAAATTAATTATCATCTCACACTTTTTGTAGTAATTGGAGATTTGTCATTGTCCATCAGTTAAATGTGAAAGGGCATCCTCTCCCATGGGGTGAGGAGCTTGCATGCAACATTTTGGTCCTGGATATCTGGGAATCCCAGACTGCAATAAGTATCTGAGCAATCCCTGAACTGCAGCACAGAAATGCAAATGAGCCTATAATGAGTAAGACAGAGTTGTGGCAGGGAGCAGGGACAGATCCCAAAGCCCAGTGAGGTGAATGGCAAGGCTCCTGTTGAGTGCAGTGGTGTCTGAGCAGAGCTCTCAGCATGTCTGTGAGAGGAGACACAGCCTATCGCTGCATCACGTCATAAACATGATAACCACACGCCCATCTTTTCTGCTTTCTCTCCCAGGATGGAAGGAGAAGTTTCATTGGCCACCAGCTTGGAGGGGTTATGGAAGTGCCAAACAGCAAGGACCAGAGAGTCAAATCAGCCAGAGCCATCCAAATCACTTACTACCTCCAAACATATGGCTCTGTCACCCAGGACCTCATTGGGGAGAAGTGGGAGAGCGAATTCTGTAAACTGATGCACAAGATGCAGCTGGATCACCAGGATCTGCAGCTCTACTCACTAGCATCCTTTAGCCTCTGGAAGGACTTCCACCAGACCAGTCTCTTGGCCAGGGGCAAGATTTTGGTGAGCCTGATGCTGATTCTCCTGACTGCTACCCTCTCAAGCTCCATGAAGGACTGCCTGCGTAGCAAACCTTTCCTGGGACTCCTGGGAGTACTCACTATCTGTATTTCCAGTGTCACTGCGGCAGGGATATTTTTCATTACTGATGGAAAATATAATTCTACTCTGTTGGGAATCCCTTTCTTCGCTATGGGTAATTATTTATCTTCATAATAATAGGATTAACAGAGTTTAATGACAGAATTGTAAATTACATCCTGGGTTATAAAGTGCAGATTTTACTTTGAGTGAAAGTCTAAGTCATTTTCATCTTTCTAAATTGATCTGTGCCTTGCCAAAAAAAAAAAAAAAGGAAAAAAAAAAAAGAAAAAAAAAAAAGAAAAAGAAAAATAGAGACAAAACAAAGCAGTAGCAACAATAAAAAGCAAATGACATTCCTGGAATCTCAGCCAACATGAGAGAGGGGCAGTGTTATTGATCTCTGCTACAGAATGAAGGAGAAATTGTTATTGAAATGTAGTCAGCTCAGCAGACAAAATGGATATGTGTTGACCCAACTTTGATGGGAGGCAAGCCAAAAGAGTAAGTTAAATAGGAGGGTACCAAGAGAGGGCAGATTTTAACACCCTTACCAAGAAGGGCTTTTTTTTGAGTTCTGCCTGAAGGGCAGAATGAGACAGGATGGTGTAAGAATAAGATTGATGGACTTTATCTCAGAGAGGAGATTACAGTTGTGGTGTTTGCCCGGCTGAGAGCACAGAGGCCTGTCAGGATCTGTGGCATGTAATCCCTTGGTTTGTGAAATCCTAGATCAGCTGCACAGATTTCATTTGCATTCCACGCAAACAGGGGAAGGTGTGGAAGAAGAACAAATGTAAAACCCAGCTCTTTAGGCAGAAGAATTGCTTTCTCTGTAACTGTCTGGTTCCAAGCGCTTCCAGTGCATCCATGTGGTTGATGAGTTTGCTGGGAAGTTGCATTTGAGAGGCAGAGGGAAAGGTGCCCAACTCAGTTATGGAGGCAGTGTTTGGTACCCTCACATCCACGCTTGTCAGAATTTTGCCGTACCGTGAGTCTGAACCCCAGCGATGATTCTGAAATATCTCAGTGGTGGCAGCCCAGAGCTAAACATTTTCATGCTCAATTTCTGATGGCAGAGAATCTTACCTGTGGCCAGAGCTCCACATTCTTACAGCTAATTTCTTAAGTGCTATTCACACTTCAAGTCCTCAAGAGCAAGTACTGTGTTATGCTAAGAGTCAACTAAATAGCAAAGTTACAAGCCAGACTCAAGGTTTGAAGAAGGGTCTTATACTTTCCTTAAAACCTCAATCTCCCAAAAGACCATATTTTCTTATCTTCCCCTAAGAAAATTCCTGTGGGTGTATGCATCCCCAGTCCAAAACTCCTACTTAATCTAGGCCTACTTAAACCTCCTACTTAATCTAATAATGCATCTGTGTCACTAAACAAAAGGCTGAGCTGTGGCCTCATCAGTCCTGCTCTCAGAGTCTCTGGAGCAGCTGCTTGAGGTGGGAAGGAGTGGAATGGAGGGATTGGTTGAAATTCCAGAAGGCAAAGAGAGGAATGAGACAAAAGACCCCAAGGAACTGAATGTTTGGTTCAGCCTCATTAATAGTGATAAGGCTGTGCCAAAGCCTCTAATTCAGTCATCTGCACTGTTGAATTGTGGCAATGGTCCCTGACATGGACTGCCCTGTGCCAGCTCTTCAGATTTGTGCATGGCTCTGTGGTGTCAGAGGAGTTGATGGAAGGCAAGTGCTGAGATGGGGAAGGGAAGAAAGCCAGCAGAGAACATGCCAGATTGTGGCAGACAGATCCTGACCTGTATGAGGGGTGTGGGTTTAGGAAACAAAGAATGGAGAAAGGCATGAGGTGAAGAGGGGGTCATGCTTGTTAGCAGATTTTGACAACCTTTTCCTTGTGTGTCAGGAGGTGCATATCAAAGGAGGAAGCAAAAGGCACTGGCTTGCTTGTGTAACAAGTTGAAGTAGAGGTGAAAAAGCCCTGAAGTGATGAGAAGCACCTTCCCTAAACTGTGCATTCCTCTGTTGGTGTCTCTTTTTAGATGGTTGGAGACATGGGTAGTACATTCTCTTTGACAGGTCCCAGACTTGCCACTCCCAAGGAGCTCCTCAGTTCAAACCTTCTCTGCAGCCCCAGGGTGAGACACAGGTCAGAGCTTCTGAAAGCAGAGTGCCTCAGTTTCCCACCTCAGTAGTCCATGACTTTGTTTGCTGTCTTAGGAAAAGTAACATTTATAACTTTCTGTTGTGTTTTGCCCTGTCATTCTTGTCACAGCCACTGCCAAGAGCAAAAGGAAAGGAAAAAACATCTCTTGAAGTGAGATGTTTGCAAGGATTGTTTCTATAATATTATATTGAATGCAATTCAGGTTGAAAAAGAAAGCATTTATGTAACTTCTTCTGAAATTTCATTCAGGAGTCTCAGACTGAATTGAAAATATCATTAGAGAACAGCTTGCAATGCTTGGGAACTGCTGTTTATAAATATTAGGCAGCACTTACAGTTTAGTGGAGGAAAAGACAGGCAGAATATCTTATTAAAGTCTTACTGGGTTACCTTCTGCAAAGAACCGTGTGCCTTTAGTCCCTCAAGGGACACTGCCATTTAATGAGACCTTGCTCTGCCCAGAGTACCAAAGCCCTCACTGGGCAGGGTTTTCTGCTGGACCTGGCTGTCATGGACTGATATGACAGCTCAGAGTAGAAACAGGAAGACCCCAGGACTGTTGATTCTGGGGGTCAATAAATAACCCTGGCCCACGTTATTCCAGTGTCCCTTGCTGCTGGCACAGCAGAAAGCAAACATCAAATGATAATTGAGTGAAGGTAGAAGAAAAAGTGTGCAGGGTGGGGTTTCCCTGAACTGCAAATGCCAGATTTGCAAGTCAAACTTTCAAAGTCAAGTTACTTAGATTTAAAAAACTGAAACCAGGCAATAACAATGACAAAGACCCTGCAAGTGCAATGCAGAGTACACAGGCAGCATTAATTCTGGCAGCTCCCAACTTTGGAACACTTCAACCTGACATTTGCAAACCATCCATTTAAAGCACATTTGTTTGGTCAAAAATATGCAGTTCCTTCTAGCATTCACTTTTCAAAGGACTAATTTTAATGGAAATTTTGTTATATTCTGGGCTTGTCCTTTTCCCTGCAAGGGTGACAGGATGCTACCATCTGAATGACAGGAATAACCCTGAAAGTTTAGATCCACAATTCCTCTTGCAGTGCAGAGCTTCTGTAGGTTTCAGTAGGTGACAGAAGCCTATAGAAAAGCGGAATGTTTATATTTTTCTAAATCTAGACTGAGTGACCTCCAACATAATTATTTACTGTAGTCCTGCTGTGAGGGAATGGTCTGCTGGGATAAAGCACATCTCTGCTGTACTGGGAGAAGAGTGTTAGCTCAGACTGGCTTTTCTTTATCCTTGAAGGTGAAAAATTTCAGTCTTAAGTTAGGCATGAGGACAGTGGTGGAAAATCCTGCTTGCTCTGACTCTCTTTTCCCAGCCACAGTTTCCTCAGACAGCTGCCTTGGAAAAAGTTTTCTCAGTACAATGTCTACCACTGCATTTTTGCAGTCATTCAGGAGAAACTCTTCAGGAGGCTCCCCCGCAAATCTCTGGCTGCCAAAATCTCCTGCAAACAGGATCAAGAGAGGCTGAGTTTTAGCTGCTCTTACCCCAGACAAATGGATAAATGTTGTGTGTTAATGCAAAGGCACTTCTTTAGTTTCAGAGCTTCTTTGTTTATCAGTTGAGTCGGGCCTAAATGCTTTATTTGTCTTTCTTTTTAGTCAGAATTTAATAATCTGTGTGTGAAATCAGAGGAAATAATGAGAAAAATGAGACTGTTCTACCTCACATTTCTCTTCTGGGACAAATAAAACTTGCAGTTTCTTCTACAAATTTAGCATCAGCAGAGCTGTCACGACTGCCTAGGTTTCAGACAGAGGATAGAGGGTCATATAATTAAGTTTCAGATTTGTTCTAGCCCTGGTTAGATGTTCACATCTGCCTTTTGTGTTTAGATTCATATGCAATTTCAAAGGGGTGTTATGTACATGACATAATTATGGTTTCCCATGCCTAATCATCACTAATTAATATAACCAGAAGGTTAACTACATAATTGAGATATTATTGCTCCCATGATCTGCTTTTTAATGCACAGGAACCAGACTGATATCATCAGGGAGATAATGATTTAACTCAGCTGAGGTCCCAATTGTGTATTTTTGAAATGCAGGTGCACAAATTACATCATTTTACATTGCAATTATTTTCGACCAGTCCATGAAGTACTTCATTATATAGATTAGTAGAAATCTTATTATTAAAAACCACCTACAATATAATTATAGTGTAATTATGATTTTTGTGCTATAAAGGGTACATGTTTCTTAGAAGGCTGGATTCACAGTGGATGTGAAAAATATTTCCTGTCGTTTGTAAGGCCAGACCATGAAGTCCGTAAGATATTTGTGGGAACAGCTGTTTGTAACTGACTCTTTAGAGAACATTAATCTCACTGAGTGCCCTACCACACATTGCAGTATTGCTGCCACTCCTGCCAGTAACCAAACTGCTGCTAGAGTAAAGAGGTACAAAAACTTTAAGAGCCAATAGGCTTCCTGTGTGCAGCAGTAGCCCCGTGCCTGATGTAAGAGCTCAAGATGGATGGCAGAGATTGTACTTTCAGTGCAGACTTTTCTGTTAAAATTTCCCATTATTCATTCCCTGGAGTTGTTCAAATGGAAGGAGGAATCAAGGCAATATCAGACAAGACTCCAGGCAGTTATTAGCATTTCAGATAGAAGCCATCTACCTCTTTCAGATGGCAGTTGTTGAAATAATGACTGGTGATCACCTTTCAGTAAATTTAAGATGTCACAGTATTATATTAGCAGCAGAGTCATGGAAAATTGCAGGAAAAAAGCCCTAGTTCAGATGAGAAATTATTTTTTTCAAACCTCAGAAGACAAATGTGAGAGCCAAAGTACAGGCTGTCACCAGTTTACCTGAACATGAAGTTTCACAGTATTCTAACCTTTGCTTCAAGCAATGGACTTGCTGATTACAAATGTGACAGAAACATTCCATGGGTGACTCAGACTTTGGGTTTGTCCTTTTGATGCAGCAGTAAAGCAAATCCCATATGAATCTCATGCTGCACCATCACCTCCTGTCTGGGTGAGGAGCAAGAGAATGACCCTGTAGAGAAAGAAAGTCCTGATATAA